GGATCTTCAACACCTACGGCCCGCGGATGCACCCATTCGACGGCCGGGTGGTGTCGAACTTCATCCGTCAAGCGCTGGCGGGCGAGGACATCACTGTCTTCGGCGAGGGCAACCAGACGCGCTCGTTCTGCTACCGCGATGATTTGATTGAGGGCATGATCCGGATGATGAACGCGCCGGACGACTTCGTCGGACCGGTGAATATCGGCAACCCGGGTGAGTTCACGATCCTCGAGCTGGCCGAGAAAGTGATCGCGCGGACGGGATCGAAGTCGAAAATCGTCCACCGCCCGCTCCCCTCCGACGACCCGACGCAGCGTCAGCCCGACATCACGCTGGCGAAGGCAAAGCTCGGCTGGGAGCCGAAGGTGAAACTCGACGAAGGGCTCGACAAGACGATCGAGTGGTTCAAGTCGGTGAATCTTAGCGACTTCCGCGCGCCGACGCCAAATTACTAGGGGACGGGTTAGGGCTGAGAAGAGGAGGGATTTCGACGGCTGACGCCGTTGCATAAGTGGGGCTCGGGTGGAGAGGGCTCGATGGTGCGTTGCAGCTTAATGGTGTTGGCCGTCCTGCTCTGGCCCGCGGCTGCGCCGGCGCTGACGACGTTGATCGACAACGGCCCGTCATCTAACCGTGTCGATATCGTCTTCCTCGGCGATGGCTACACGCAGACCGACCTCGACGCGGGCGTCTACACGTCGCACGTCAATGCGTACTTGGATTATAAGTTCGAGCCGTCGGCGCTCGCGGACCCGTTCCCGCGGTACCGCAACTTCTTCAACGCCCATGCGATCGAGGTCGTCAGCAATGAGTCCGGCGCCGATCAGCCGCCCAACGGGATCTTCTACGACACGTCCCTCGACGCCACCTACTTCACCAGCGGCACCGAGCGGCTGCTGACGGTTAGCACGTCGAAGACGAACGAACAGCGGAATCTCGGCCTCGCTGGCACGGGGATCACGGCCGACACGCAGTACGTTGTGGTGAACGATACGAAGTACGGCGGCTCCGGCGGGACGTACGCGGTCTTTGCGGGCGGCAACTCGAGCTCCAAAGAGATTGCGTTGCATGAGGTCGCCCACTCGTTTTCACGCCTCGCCGACGAGTACGTCAGCTACAACAGCCCCTACACCGGTGGTGAGCCGACCGAGGTGAACGTCACCAAGGACCCCAATGGCGCCAAATGGAGCCACTGGCTCGGCTACGACGACCCGCGCGGCTCGAACCTCGACATCGGCGTTTACGAGGGCGCCCGCTACTACGAGTCCGGGGTCTATCGCCCGTCGCTCGACAGTAAGATGCGGTCGCTCAACCGGCCGTTCGACGCGGTGTCGCGGGAGAAGCTGATCCAGGACATCTACCGCTACGTCGATCCACTCGATGGATTCCTCAGCAACAGCCAGACGCTCGTGGCGCCGGAGGAACTATGGGTCGACGTGGTCGATTCCGAAGTGATCCTCGTCGAGTGGTCGATCGACGGGACGCCGAGCGCCGCGAACAGCGGGGAGTCTTTCGACGTCTCGCTCGAAGGACTCGCCCCCGGCAGCTACGCAATCTTGGCCCGGGCGTACGACGAAGTCCTCGACTTCGCCAACACCGGCGGCGCCTTGGACCTGGTGCGTAGCGGCTACTCGGAGCTAGAGCAATTTGTTTCGTGGGACATCGTGATCCCGGCCACGGGAGACTACGACCACGACGGAGTCATCGACGCGGCCGACTACGAAGTTTGGCGCAGCGCGTACGGATCGACTGAACTGCTTAATGCCGACGGCAACGGCGATGGCGTCATCGATGCGGCGGATTACGTCGTGTGGCGCGACGCCTTTGCCGCCGCCGCTTCGGCATCCAGGATCCCCGAGCCCGCCGGCTGCGTCCTGTTGGTCTCGATGGTGGTGTTAACAGGTAACGCTGTAAGATTCCGGAATGATGCGTAACAGCGCCGATCCGCCGTGCGACTTGCTGTTTGTCTACGGCACATTGATGAGCCGCTTCTACAACGTCCACGCCATCGCCCTGCGCCAAGCGGCGACGCTGCTTGGGCCGGCGACCTACCGCGGCCGCATGCACCGCGTGACGGGGCCGCGTGGCTCGCTCGTCTACCCGGTGGTGGTTCCGTCCGTCGACGCGGCCGAAGCCGTTCATGGCGAACTCTATCGAGTGACCGACCGACGCGTTCTGGATCGGCTCGACGTGTACGAGGGCTGCGCCGCCGGCAGCCCGCGACCTCATGAGTACCGACGTGTTATCGCCGAGGTGACGCCCCAAGACGGCGACACGGCGTCAGCGATGATCTACGTCTTTCAAGGGACCGCCGACCGCTTGCCAAGAATTGCGGACGGCGTGTTCCGCTAGTCGGCTTTCTGACGAGCTCGCTTACTGGCGATCGACAGTGACCGCGGAGTTGCCAACCGATGCGACCTGATTGACCTCAGGAGTCGTTGGCGTCGGCGAGGCCGTGTAGGACAACGCGACGAAGCCCGCGATCCAAGCGAGCACAAACCCGAGCGTCTCGCCGTAATAGACGAGGCCTGACCAGCTCATCCAATTGGGGACGGTGGCGGAATGGCGGGACATGTCGCGGCGGGTGGATAGCGGGCAGGTCGTGCGCCAAGCGGGGACGGCGCGTGGGGAGATTACACCGCACGGCCCCGAAACGGGCAAGATCAATCGTAGACCCGCCCGAATCGTTCATCTAGACCACCCGCTGGGGGGCGTCAAAGGGGCTGGCGGCCCGCCAAACCGGCGGTATACTTTGAGACTCGCCGTCGCGGCCCCACCGCAACGGCCGAAGGGCGCGTAGCTCAGTTGGTTAGAGCGCTTGCTTGACATGCAAGAGGTCACAGATTCGAGTTCTGTCGTGCCCACTAGCTGTAAACGGTGAAGGCGTCGGACCTTAGGCCGATCCCCGCGGTGGTCGCGGGAGCTGCCCGCAAGCCGAAACGGGAGTAATTTTACTCCCAAACGGTACCTGGCATGCCCCGGCGCTCGCTAAACGCGGAGAAGCCCCCGCGTATTCCCCCATACTGTTTGCACCGCGCCTCAGGCCGCGCCTATCTCAAGACCGGCGGCAAGATGGTCTATCTGGGCGACTACGGCAGCGAGGCCAGTCGAATCGCCTATGCCGCTGCGGTGGCCGACGTGCTAGCGGGACGCGCCGTCGTCGCCCCCAAACGCCGCGACGCCTCTCTGCCCGGGTGCTTGACGGTCCGCGAGGTCTGCGCCCGTTATGTAGCGTTCGCCAGCGGCTACTACCGCAAGCGGGGCAAGCCGACTTCCGAGGTAGCGATCATCGTCCGCGCCTGCGATCACGCCGCGGCGCTGATGGGCGACCTGCCCGCTGATGAGTTCGGACCGCTGGCGCTCAAGAGCGTCCGTGAGCGGATCGTCGAGTCGGGCGTCGCCCGCACCACGGTCAACAAATACATCGACCGTATCCGCCGCGCGTTCACCTGGGCCGCAGGGGAGGAGCTAATCCCCGCCAGCGTGCCGGCGGCGCTCGCGACTGTCGGCGGACTGCGCACCGGACGCACCACGGCCCGCGAGACGGACCCGGTTCTCTCAGTACCCGACGACGTGGTCGAGGCGACGCTGTCCCACCTGCCCGCTGTGGTGGCCGATATGGTCCGTTTACAACGGGCGACCGGCATGAGACCCGGCGAGGTCTGCGACTTGCGACCGTGCGACCTGGACCGCACCGGTGAGGTCTGGACCTACCGCCCCGCTTCGCACAAGACGACGCACCACAACAAAATGCGGGTCGTCCAACTCGCCGCGACCGCCCAAGCGATCCTGTTGCGGTACTTGGCGCGGCACCCGCGTGCCTATTGCTTTCGTCCGTGCGACAGTGAAGCGAAGCGGCGAGCCGATGCCGCGACCATGCGGACCACGCCCCTATCGTGCGGTGATTCTCGCGGGACGAATCGAGTCGCTAGCCCGCTGCGAGCCGCAGGCGACCGCTACACCACCGACAGCTACCGCCGCGCCATTACCCGCGCGGCAGTCAAGGCGGGCGTCGCCACCTGGGCCCCGAACCAGATACGTCACTCGTTCGCCACGATGGTTAGCCATAACCACGGGCGCGAAGCTGCGCGGGTGCTGCTCAGCCATTCCAAGGTCAGCACGACCGACGTTTACATCGAACGAGACTTGAACCTAGCCGCCAAGGTGGCGCAGGCAATCGGATAACTAGTAACAACAAGCAAAGCCAGTTAGCGGGAGTAGCTACCCGCGTCGCGTCGCCGCGTCTCGCCATCCCATCCGGCGAGCGCGGCGGGGCGGGCTGGTGCAGGAGGATGGGGAATGAGTCACGCCAATAGTGAGATATCGGCAGCGGTTCAACTCCTGAGACTGGAGGCCGACAAGTTCACCATCGACTATGGCCGATTCTCTGGCGGCGGATCACGAACCGCTCAACCCATCGACCCGAGTGCTCTAGAAGCTACCTCGCAGAGCCTCTTATCGGCGGGGCTTTGTGTTGCTCGATACTCTGCCGACCTGAACCTCGGTGAGGAAGCTGCTGTTATTCTCCGACTGTCCCGCGAGTTGGCGCGGGGAGATTTGGTTACAACCTGGAATACGGTGAAGAACCATGCAGACGCATTTGATTCTGCACTGTGCCGTGTCGAGGCCGAGTTGCTTAAATCCCCGACACGACGGACTGTGGAAGTTACCAAAGAAGCGGAAGGGGTCGCCATAGATCGGGCAATCGCAAACGGTGCAAAAAATTCCTGGGCCACTTACGAAGAAATTGACACGGCACGTAAGTTGGCAGAGCGCGGGTTAGAACTACTAACACGAGTTTCGGATCATGCTGATTCGATCGCTCCCCTCCTCAACCGTCTTGTAGTGACGGGAGCCAATGTCGAAAGAGTGCAGGCATGGCTTCAGCAGGTAATACCGGGAATCGAGCGCGTCGCCGTGAGGAGTGCGGATATCCGGCTGACCGAAGAACAAGAGTCATTCTGGCAGTGTATACGAACAATTGAGCGTTGCTGGACTGGCGCGAGGCCACGGCCATTCGCCAATTACGATGCAGCGGACTACCGCTACGCGACTGCGCATGCGGCGGTCACACAGTGGGCAAGCGCGTTTCAACACTGGGTAACTCGATACGATGAGAGTTTCGAAAAGGTCGGGTACGAGAGTGCTGAAATGATCGCGCAGGCGGTTTGCCAGTTTCAGCTAAGGCCGGGCGAAAGCCAGAATCTTGCCCTACAGGTTGTCGAGGAATGGCGAGCAGCACACGACTTTCTTGATCAACAGCCAGCATCGCCCGCGACACCCGAACTGCGCAAGCCTCCGGCGACGCCGCTGAATGTCTGGGCCACCCGCCTGGTGGTGAGTGGTCCAACTATTGTCACTTTGGACGGGACGCCTCACTCCGTATCAGCGGACTCTGCCGCTCTTTTTGCCGCCATGATACAAGCGTATCCGGTTCCCGTTGCAGCTAGAGACTACAACAGCAAGCCGGACCGCATGAAGGCAACGTGGCCTCAGGCGCTGCAGGCGATCATTGCCTCCGACAATAAGGGCTACCGGCTTGTGAACCCTGTCGAATACCCCGACGCCAAGCGTCTGGGTTCTCCGGCATAAGTCGTCCGGCTGTAGGACACGATTCAACGCGAAACACTGCTGTTGTCGGATTCACTTCCCAACAGCCCCCAAGGTTTCGCGATGCTCACCGTTTCTCCCGGCGACGTTCTGTTGCCCGTAGCGACCGCCGTCGAGAAGGCGATCGGCTACCGACCCCACCCGACAACCTGCACACGTTGGACCCGTACTGGTGTCCGCGGTGTGAAGCTGGCGACCGTTGTCGTCGGCGGCCGGCCCCGCACGACCGAGGCGGCCGTTATCGAGTTCGTCGAGGCGCAGACCGCCAAAGCGGCCCCGCCGCCGCTTGACGCCTAAGCCCCCCTTACCCCCGCACGTTTGCGGGACGTAGGGCCGGGTCTTTGGAGCAAGGGAGGCTACCCATCTTCCCTGAGCGGGTTCGATCCCCGTCCGGTCCATTCCTCTGGACTCTGAACAGAGGACGCCCGGCCGCATTAACGGCCGAGCGCCCGAAGCCTAGGGAGGCTACCCACGATGATCGTACCACGCGCCGCCGGCCGCGGCAAAGTTCACATCACCCCGCGCCGCAGGCGTACCCGTGAGGAGGTCCGTCGCGTTGTCGCCCGACTGGTCGCGGCGCACCCCGACCGACTCACCACGGCTGACCGGATCACGCCCCCGATGCCGCAGGGGGTGACGACGTGAACCATCCCACCAACGCCCGAAAAGGGACCGCCGGAAGAAAAGGCGGACTAGACCGACTTCACCACGCCGCGCCGACCGACCTCCTCCCGTCGCCGGAGAACGACACGCTGTACCGCGCCGTGCTGCCGACCGACAAGGCGGTCGTCGAGCTGGCCGACAGCATTCGCCAGCGGGGCGTCGTCGAGCCGATTCTTGCCACGGCCGACGGCTATGTCGTGAGCGGCCACCGTCGCCGCGTCGCGGCCATCGTGGCGGGCGTCGAGGCCGTGCCGGTCCGCTACCTCGCCGAGCGCCGCGACGACTTCACGGACGACCAGTACGTCGCGCTGCTGCGTGAACACAATCGGCACCGGGTGAAGTCGATCGCCGAAGCGCTGCGCGAGGCGGTCGTCGATGCCGACCCGGAGCAAGCCTATATCGACCTCCTCGGCCATCGCGAGCCGGTCGAGCCCGATTGCCTAACGGCCGTGAATATGTCGGGCATCGTGCGGCGCAAGCGGATCAGCGCGGCCAAGTCGGCGATGGTCGCGGCCGTGCTAAAGGTCCTCCAGCAGCACCGCCGCTATCTGCCGATCAACGACCGCAAGATTCACTACGAACTGGCGCAGCACCACCGGCCGCTAAGGCACACGCGCAAGCCGTCGTCGCACTACGCGGCCGACAAGCACAGCTACAAGGACCTCTGCGACTTGCTGACGCGGATGCGGTCAGAGGGGATCATCCCTCACGACGCTATCAGCGATGAGACGCGCCCCGTGTCGGTCTGGGAGTGTTGGAACAACGTCGAGGAATTTATCGGCGGCGCGGTCAACGGCTTTGCCCGCGGCTACTGGCGCGACCTCATGCAGTCGCAGGAGGTCCACGTCGAGGTAGCGGTCGAGAAGAATACGGCCGTGAAGGTCGTCGCCGAAGTCGCCATGCGGTACACGGTCCCCGTGACCTCGCTGCGCGGCATGACTTCGATGCCGACGAAGTACCAAATCGCCGAGCGGTTCAAGGCGAGCGGCAAATCGCGGCTGGTCCTGTTGTTGGCGACCGACTTCGACCCGACCGGCGAGTCGATTGCGGAGAATCTAGCGAAGGGACTGCGCGATGAGTTCGGCGTCGAGGACCTTGCGGCCTACAAGATAGCCGTGACGCCCGACCAGGCGGTCGAGTTGGGAACGGTCCAGAGCGTCGAGGGAATCGGACTTAAAGCGGGAGACGCGAAGGCGAAGCGTTTCCGCCAGCGTCACGGCGACGACGTGGTCGCCTACGAACTAGAGGCACTGAGTATCGACGACCTCCAGCGGCTGACGGCTGAGGCGATCGACGCGGTTCTCGACATCGACCTCCTCAACGCCGAGCGTGAGCAAGAGCGCCGGGACGCGGCCGAGATTGAAACAACACGGCGACGGATGCTCCTCGCGCTTGGTGAGGAGGCGTAGCGTATGCAAGCCGAACTAGACGCGGCCCGCGGCTACGCCGATCGGGGCTGGTGCGTCGTCCCGATGATGATGGGCGAGAAGCGCCCGCGGGTCCGCTGGAAACGTTACCAGCGTGACTACCCGTCGGCGCAAACGCTTTACCGATGGTTCCGCCAGACCGACCACGGCGTCGGCGTCATCTTCGGCCACGTCTCCCGAGGCTTGGCGTCGCGCGACTTCGACGACGTGGCGAGTTATCACCGGTGGGCGGCCGAGCGTCCCGCGCTGGCGTCCACGCTGCCGACGGTAGCGACGCGGCGCGGGTTCCACGTCTACTGTCAGTTGTGGCCTGAGAGCGTCGAGGAGGCCCGTAGACGCCTTGGTAAGCGCGAGGACGGTCGAGGAGCCATCGACCTCGGAAACGGCGAGCTACGGGCCGGTGTGGGCTGCTACAGCGTCCTCCCACCGTCAACGCACCCCAGCGGCCACGTCTACGGCTGGTCCGTCCCGTTGCCTGTTGGTGACCTTCCTACGCTGGACGCTTGCGACGTGGGATTCTGCGACTTCACGGAAGCCGAGAGCGACGACCGTTTTCATTCCAGTAACACAGAGGACACAGACTACACAGAGAACACAAGCAATGTCGGCGAAGGCAAGGGAGAGAGCACGATCGGCCCCAACGGCTTCGAAGTTGCTCCGGTTATCGAGCTGACCGCCGAGGAGGCGATCGTCGGTTCCCTGCCTACCGGACCCGGTCAACGCCATCGGCAGGTTTTCGAGTTCGCCCGCCGGTTGAAGGCTGTCCCGTCACTAGCAGACCAGCCGGGGAAGTCGCTGCGGAAGTACGTCGAGGCGTGGCACCGCCGCGCCTACTTAGCGATCGGCACGAAGCCATTCGAGGAGACGTGGATCGACTTCCTCAAAGCGTGGGACAATGTCGCCAGCCCGTATGGAGGAGGAATCTTGACCGTCGCTTTCGAGAAGGCGTGCCGCGCGGGACTACCCGACGTGACGCACGACTACGATCAATCCGAGGTCCTGCTACTGGCCGGACTCTGTCGCGAGTTGCAGCGAGCCGCCGGCGACCGACCGTTCTACTTGTCGTGTCGCGACGCGGGCCGGCTGCTGGGCGCGACCCACGTCCAGGCGAGCCGTTGGCTTTTCCTGCTGGTGGCCGACGGCGTGCTAGAGGAGGTCGAGAAGGGAGACGTGCGGACCCGGAAGGCGTCGCAGTACCGCTACGTGGGGGACTCCTAATCGTCCAATCGGTGCAGATTGCCCAGGCTTTACCGCCGTATGGCGCGGATTGCCGCGGAAGGCATTGACTCTAAACCCGCAGGTGTCGAATATACCTTTGTGCACTAAATGCATGCAGGGCTTTGCTAGCTTACTCTCTCTGTGCGGTCCGCGCCGCGTCACCGATAGC